AGGGGTTATAAAGATGGACACAAGATTGGTTAGGAACTTATGCTGAGTAGTTCCTTATACACATCATTCTACTTTTGCATGTTTGAAATTTTTTCATGATAAAAAGTTTTTTAAAAAATCTCAGGATTTAACTGTTTCCCAGTAGCAATTTATACTCTGAATATGGAAATAAGAATGTTCATTGTACACATATACGAGACTCTGTATTTCATAAATACTTCCTATTTTCATGAAATCTTGATCTCTACCTCTTTCTTGAGATGGCCTATACAATTCCACTACCAGTAAACATCCTCAAAGTCTCTAGCCGTGCCTCCTATGCACTGTTCAGGTAACTTGCCATGAGAGGACAGAGGTAAGAAGCACCACAAATAAAGAAGCAAGAGAAATTTCCTGAGGTTTAGACTGAGGAGAATTGGAAGAATGGAAATGTAGATTAAAATCATTTTTAGTTATAAGCCCATTCCCCCCACAAGCAGCATTAATATTAGTTATTATATTAGCACTAATATTCATACTAATTCCAAAGGCTCTAATATTATCTAGTCACTAATTTGGAATGTCAACATGTTTTATAAAAATGTCTTGGCGAGGTACCTGGCCAACCCCAAAATGAAAGGAATGGCTCCAAATTATACAAGTGTGGCTATGGAGAACTAAAACTTAATTGGTTGCTGCTATCTTCACCACTAATGTATTCTTTAACTATAAATGAACAGCATTGCCAAGAACTGCTTCCTACTTTCCATGCTCTGTAACATCTAGATGCTAAGACTCATTAAGCTTGTATGTACTAACTTTCTGTTAATTGAAAAGGAGACAAAGGATGTACCCAGGTCCCTGTTCCTTGCTGATACTGATAGGGTCTGTCAAACACAAAGATTGTGTGGTGGTGGGCGCCTGTAGTCCCAGCTACTCGGGAGGCTGAGGCAGGTGAATGGCGTGAACACGGGAGGCTGAGCTTGCAGTGAGCCAAGATCGTGCCACTGCACTCCAGCCTGGGCGACAGAACGAGACTCTGTCTCAAAAAACAAAAACAAAAACAAAAACGAAACAACAACAATAAACACACACACACACACACACACAAAAGATTGTAACGAACTTCTTTCCTTTTGTTGATCTCTATCAACTTTATGCTTATTGAGAGAAGGTCATCCATTCCTAATTATGTTCTAAGGTCAAATGCCACGTAAATTCCTCTCATAGTGATTTATAATAAAATGTTACAAACATGATGTATAGAAAACAATCATTTTAAACTTGTTCCATGATCAGATACCACATGAATGAATTTCATTTTGCAATATTCCATTTAGCTGGGCCTGTGCATTTTCTTCATTAACCCTTTCTTGACTCTGGCTTCACACAGATTTGGGTAATTCTTTCTCTATACTCTACGGTACGATTCAGTTCTATTATAGCACATATTATAGCACGTAAAGAAGCATCGTGTTGCCTTCTTTAGTTTGTATGTCTGTCTCCTCCTACTGGTCTCTAAATTTTTTTGAGACCCAGGATTATTTTCAATGCCCACCACAATGACTAACTTTGTAGCTTTCGACAAATGTTTGTTGTAAGTAAATGGCTAACTCAACCAAAAAAATAATAATAATAAAAATGACTTATAGTTGTCAATCCTTTGAGTGATTTTGAGTAGATTTTCTAATGTAAGTCGATGTCTCTTGGCTTTTTCCTTTTCCTTTTCTCACATATCCCATGTCTTTACACTGGGGCTACAGATAGAAAGGGAAATATTTTGCCTATTGACTTTCAATTTCATATCCTGCCATTGAACTAACCTCTCCATTCTTTATATTTCTCTACTTTTCTAATATTTAGCATCTATTGTGATCAAGGCGATCAAATACTATTTATTATTACACTGCCCTCAAATTCCTTGTGACATTCATTCATCTAAATCCAGCCCTACCTTCCATCTTTCTGCTTTGCCATTTGCCTTTTCCAACCACTGGTACCCTCTAAGTCCTTCTAGAAGAGTGAGTCTGTTGTATAAAAAGACAATCTTTTGAGATCCATAGTTTTCAGGTCCCAGGACAGTAGGCAAACATTTCTGTGTAGGATGATTTAAGTGATCTCTTAAAGAGCATGCAAAGTAGTACCCAAAGTATTGGCAGACATTGCATTTTTTTCTTTTTTCTTTCTGAGACAGAGTCTCCCTCTGTGGCCCAGGTTGGAGTGCAGTGGCCCAATCTCGGCTCACTGCAACCTCTGCCTCCTGGATTCAAGCGATTCTCGTGCCTCAGCCTCTCGAGTAGCTGAGGTTACAGGCATGCACCACCACACCATGCTAATTTTTGTATATTAAGTACAGATGGGGTTTTATCATGTTGGCCAGGCTGGGCTCGAACTCCTGGCCTCAAGCGATCCACCCATCTTGGCCTCCCAAAGTGCTGGGATTAGAGGCATGAGCCACTGCGCCGGGCCCAAACATTGCATTTTCTTGAGGCTTTACTTTGATAAGCACATTGTCCATTAAAATGTCAGTGATTTTTCTCCTATGTTTTTAAAAGTTTTTCTACTCCTTTCTGGTCCAGGAAACTTAGAGAGCATTTGTTTTCCAGGGTCAGGAATATTTGGCCAGCTTTTATTTATACTTTCCCTTGAATCTTGGAAAATAAAGGGAATGTTATGTGGTAATTTAGAGGTAAGGAACATACCTCTCCCGAGGGCTCTGCATCAGGTTCAGTTTAGGGTTGAGTTTAAGATTCAGGTTGATTATTATTATTCTTTAGGCAAAGAACCCACCCATAGAGTTCCTAGTTACAGATAATTTTTTCTATTTTCTACTACATCCAAAATCTCCATCAAGTTAGGTAGAACAGGTTGGTAATTCAAACTAAAAATAATATGTGGCCTGCCTGCCAGGATCTGTTTTTTTGTTGTTTGTGTGCTTGTGTGTGTGTGTGTGTGTGTGTTCCTTTTTCTTTGTTTCGTTCTTTCTTTTTTTGTTGTTGTTATTTGTTTGTTTTTACAAAGAAGGTTTTATTAGAAGGAATCTATTGACTTAGGCAATTCCAAAAAAACTTGTCAAGATTTTTATATTACATACTTTTAGAATAAAGCTAAGTTTCTTATAAACTTGAATATATTACCCATGAACATGGTATGAATATGAGAAAACATTTTAACCTCCATTTTGCTGGTAGAAAAATAAAATCAGAGATTTGTTTCTGGTCATATGGGCCTCTATGGCCCCAGAAATAGATTCTGTGACTTATGAAGTTCACCAGAATGCGACATCTGTTGATAAAAGGTAAATGCCAAATTGGTGAGTGAGTTGGTATTATTTAACATTTATCAGAAAGCAATAGAGATATTTGCTTTGAGGAGTTCGAGGTCTTAGATTGGTGTATCATTTAGCTCATTACTGACATAAAAATCATAAAATGTCTTGGTTTTATTTTGGGAAGGTAGCTATAGAATCTTTAAAATATAACAGAAAATTTCCCTGACATAGTAAAGCATGACTATTTGGAAATTTGTTTTTACATCTGTTTTGAAAATAATCATTTAGCTAAGTGGTCACATCTTGATAAAAGACTCCCAGTGTCCATCTAATAAATGAGACTGGATGAAAAAATAGATTCGAATTTCATGCCTTATATTTTGTCCTTGGAAGACACACTAATGCTTTCCTGTCTACCACCTCTTAGAAAAGCATAAGGATTCACTTAATCTGACAAAAAAAATTAGTCTTTAAAATTGAAATGGAAACAGAACAATAATTTATAAATTATTGTGTTCCGCCAGTTGCTCAGTTGTGTTGTTTATGTAATATTATGTAGTAACTTATTCTGAACCATTATTTTAAGAATACCACAAGCTTAAAAAGGTTTTGAGAGAGAATTTTATTAGCCTACCTTGAGAGTGAATCCACTGATAACATTTTCATAACCTCCCTTGGTAACACACTCATTATACAATCATCCTTATTGCAGGTATTTTATCCTCTTACCAAACAGGAACTTTTCATGCTACAGTTAATTCTATTAGCTTCCTCATTTCCACTAACGTTAGAATAGAATATCTAGTTTATTTCCTTTGAGCCTTACTTAGTGTACTGATTCTTGAGAGAGGAGGTGTGGCATCCTTTGCTCTCAGTGGGAACAAACTATACCATTACCTCTGAAATGGCATGAGCCAGCATGTTTCTTAATATATTTTGCCATGCTTGGTGTTCACATATTCAGCATATGAGGGAGGTGATGGATAAATGACTTTTTAAAAAAGCTGCTGTAAAGCCTTTTATAAAGAATGACCTATTTTATTTTAAAACTTAATATCATCCGGTGGTTTCCTATGGGCCGAGGAATGACACAAAGTAAAGGAAATGTTGTTCCAGAGATGATGGCTATTTTTGACCATTTTCCTTTGTTTCTTTTGGTCTAGTGCATTGGGTCAAGGATTTAGGGAGAAAGAAGAGATTGAGTCATAGTTTCAGAAAAGAAAGGGTGAGTTCAATTTCCTCATTTTGAGTTTTTCTTTCCTTTTTTTTGGTCATGAATGAATTCACCATGTATAACTTTACAGAGCCTTCTTGATTCCCCTGCCACCCCTCTTCCCACACCATCCCCAACTCTGGGTATCTCTAGAGGTTGATAAACTGTTCTCAAAACCAAGTAACAGTCAAGGCACCTGGAGAGGTTTGGGCAGCAAGGGGAGGGGATTGGCTATCGACATGGATCTAGACAGGCCAATCGCAAGTGAAGGCTACTGTTGTCTCCTAACAGCTGTTCTGTGGCCTCTGTGAAATGCGTGGTGGCTTTCATCCAGATACTGGGCAGCTGTTGCCTCACAAAAAGCATTGCCACAATTGGCATTAATTGGCTCTCTGTTGGTGGCCTCCACTGGCAATTCATTGAACCTTTTCTTTCCCTGCCTTTCTCCTACTGTCTTTATCTGCCTTTTCCTCTTCATTTTTGCTTTCTCTCTCCTTTTTATTTCCTTTGTCTTCTTTCCCCCCTCTGTCTTACCAGTAGGTAGCCTGGAAAATTAAAGAGAAGCCACAGTTCCTGAGGGAAGAATGCATTAACACCTCAGATGGGTGCTGTCTGCCAGCACTGGAGAGGAACCTACGGAGAGGGCTGCTGGGAGACAATGCTCAGACCTCCCAAGGCATCAGCCTGCCCTCCCGCCCCCAAGTTGCTTTGCTCAAGGTGTGTCAGAGTTTACTGTGGGACTGTGTATTTTATCCATTGAGCTTCTCCTTTCACCACAAGGCAGAGAACACGGCTGTGTTTTTAGAATGGATGGGCCCACGGGGAATTTTGAGTGATTCAGTAGTTGTGGTGTAAGCCCTTCATCATAACTCCCTGTCAGGCACAGTCACTAGAGGCAGAAGGTTCTACAGTTTGTGATTCCTTGCCCTGATAAGAGCAGCGCTGTTTTAGGGGTTGTGTATGGCAAACTTAATCTCAAATCCAAAATCAGCATAGCTGCTGTTTCCAGACATTTTTGGATTTATAATGTATTTATTTGACAAGTTTTTAATAAAGTAAAAATGAAATGCCATTTTTTTTATTATGCACTTGACAAATCACTTGATTTAGAAAGAATAAAATTCCACAAAACAAAGACAGCTTGAAAGTCCATGGTATGAACCGTTAAAATCACAGAACTGTCTGGATGCTCTTCTGCTCCTTCAAATATAAAAAGGAAATAGTAGTAGCAACTGTTGTGCTTAAAATTTCCAAGTCTGCTTTCAGATTATCCAACTTTATTTTCTCAATCTCAATTTTAGAGTCAAGAAGAGGACTAAAGAAAAGCTAGTGACTCATATACTTGTTATTTTCCAACCAGAAAGAGGCAACAGTAGGACATGATGCTCTTTTACTATGGGAATATAAAAAAGTTAAAACAATTTTGCAAAGTTTTTTTCATAAAAAGCCCAAAGCATTTTGCCCAAGGCTGCTTCTCTTTGGAATTTAAACCCCATGTACAACATCATATGGGGAAATGCAACCAACATGCCACTCATTTGTTTGCATTTAACTCATTGCATGTTGATTGCTAAGAACACATACATGACCAAGAAGATATCCAAGCTGCTAAGAACACAGCTATCCAAGCCCTTTGAAAGGACACATGAAATCTAAACAAGGAGCCTCAGTCTGGACAGTCTTAAACAGATGTGAAGTCCTCACAGCCTTTGCCATTTTGAAGATTAAATTACTAGCAAACCACTTTCGACAAGGGTTTTAGTTCTCAGAGTAATGACCAGGACCCGTAACAGACATTAAAGAAAAAAAGTGAAGCTTATTTAGAGTTAGGGAAAATATCCCAACACCAGCTGGGACTCCCTAATTTTGGTAATCTGCTTTCTCTCATCTATATGATGAGAAAAATCATACTCTGTCACCTTAGGATTATTTTGTTACTTAATGAGTATAAAATTACTTGAAAATCAATATGATAAATACTCTTAATAACTGGAACAAGCAATTGTGGACCATGCATAAAAAAAGAAATAGCTTTGGAGAAATGTAATTTCTTGGATGGACAGATTGTCTATCTGCTAGAGGAATGGCCCACAGTTTTGTGATTTGTTTATTCATTCGTTTAGAAAAATGACAGAAGAAATCTGAGAAATGAGATAATCAGATTGGCTGTGTATCTTTTTGTTCTCGTATTTTTTTTAAAAATTCCCTTCGAACACATCTAACCTCAATAAATAAATAAATAAAAAGAAACAAAAGCCCCCAACAGAGTCCTAATTCTAATTTATAACCACTTAAAATCTGGATATGCTTTGAACTTTGCATTTAAAAGAAAAGTTTTTCTGATTTTCTATCAATCCCTCTCCTTAGCTTGCAATTCACAAACGTACTTTTCTCCTTCAGAGCTAAAGCGAGTGAGAGACAATTGGTTTAAAGCTGCTGAAGTCTCCATTGCAGGGGAGCACTGGTTTAATTCAATCAAGGTAGAATGAAGGTCTGAGAAGGGATAGATTTTAAGGCTTGGGCAGTGAGTGGAAGCAGCATTTCCTGAGTCTACAACGCATTCTGCCATTGTTGGTGGGAACTATCGCAATATAGCTTTCGTATCTCCACCAGTTAAAATACCGTGTTGTCAACTCCCTGCCTTTGTTCTTTCTTTTTTCCCATAAGGACATTGAGTAGTTTGAGAAGATACATGCAGTAAATGTACGTTGTATATATTAGTAATATTCTTTTGCTAACATTGTACGCTAGTCATAGGGAAAATACAATTTTTCTATATGGTTTATATTATTTTTCTAAGCTTTGAAGTATTTAACAATTTTGTCCATGAGATACAAATTCAAAACTCATCGGGAGCCAAACTAAGGAAAAAAAATGAAATAATTTGTAGGGAATGCTGAGAATTGTGTCACAAGAGAGGGCATTGCACAAGGCCACCACGTTTTACAATTCCAGGGCACCCCCCATTCACATCCTATTGTATGTGAATGGTGCCCCCTAGTGTAGAGCAATGCAGAGGCCCTCTACGTGCCCTGTTCATTCATTCATTCAGAACATCCACATTGAGCTGTGCGCCAAGCATGGTTCTAGGTGTTGGGGAGGTAGCAGTGAACAAAGTGGACAAGAATCCCTGATCTCACAGAACCTAAAGGCATTCTCTTTTGATTATTATTTTTTAAAGGCAAAAAGCAACCTGCCAACCAAACAAAATGCATCAATATGCAGAATTCAGCTCACAGGACCACAAATTAATGACTCTTGTCTAGACTTCTGAATTATTTCTGTGATCATGAAGGTGTTAGCCACATGGAAAAAATACACAATACACTAACCACAAGCTTGCACCTACTGCTTAGCTTATGCCTAATGAGAGCTCTGGCTATATAGAAAACTCAGCTAATTAATTTTCAATTACAATTTTACACCCCATCCCGAAGTCTGTACTTGCCTTACCTTCTTCCAAGAAAACATAATTCCTAGAGGTGATCTGTTAGGTAACACAGGATGAAAAAGTAGAATAAAATGGGGATCATGCCATTCTGCCAAAGCATTGTCTGCCTAAATATCTATCCTAAAGACTCATGGGAGAGGCAAGCCATTGAAAAATGGTCAGGGTGGCATCTTGAGCCAATTCAGTCTGCTCTTAACCTCCTATACATTTAATTAAAATTTTTTTCAAACAAAAAGGAAGATTCTTTAAAGTATCAGGTCTCTTGGGGTTATGCTAACAGAAGCAGGTGAAACACCAAATTTAAAGAGCTTTCATAAATAATTAATTTCTCAGCCTTTTGGCTTCTTAATGCTAGTCAATGGAAAGTTTTAATTTTATCTGCAAAATGAAGCTAAAAGAATGTCACCTAGTTCCTTCCCTGTCTGGAGGAATTTGGATTTTTTTTTTTTCATTAGAAGCTTGGGTAAAACTAAGAAGAAACCTGTATTCAAGTTTCTGCAAGAAGCTTTAAAGAAATGCTGTGATGGTACTGAAATAGTTTACAAGTTTTCCACCTACAACTCACTTTGCATTTTCTTAAATAAGATAATGACTCAAAAAAATTTAAAGGACCTAGGTCACAGATCTTACGAAGAATTGGAGTCATGGTATAAAGGTGTAAAGATTGTATATAAACATTCATATTTTCCAAGAAACAGAGCAAAGACCACCTGTGATAACTCTTCCTCTTTTCTACCTGCCTTCCAGGATCCTTTCTTTCCAAAATCCCTCATAAATTAATGATAATGATAATCGGAAGAGAGAGTGTCGGCCAAATCAATCTGCACATTATATTAAATTACTTTTCCCAAAGTTTGGAAGTATTTCCTGAAAGCTGTCAAGGGTATTAGTTTTCTTCTCTCTCTTTAAATCACAAAGCAAAATTCCACTGTCTCTCCCCCACCCCTTCTAAAAAAAAAAAAAGTTGTCGAGTTTTGCTTTTCTATTCACTGCAGTCCTGGCCAAAGTAAAGCCCTCTTTCTCAATGACGTCAAGATCTTTACCAAGATTAGGCTTTCATTTCTCTATTGCAGCAATTAGCCAGGGAATGTATAAAAGGCGTCAGGGAGACTCACTGGGTTGCAGAGAGAGGCACTTTGCACCACAGACAGCTAGCAAGAAGGGAAAGACAGAGAGTGAGAAAAAAGAGGAGTCAGTCGCTCCTGGGGAAGAAAGTGAGACTGGGAGAAAGAGAAGCACAGAAAGTGTGTGTAAAACGGAGTAAAGAAAGAAAAAAAAAAAAAAAAAAA